TGATCCTTTAATAAATAATGCTATAGTAGGTACATCAAGTATCGGTAATCCAAATACTTCATTATTTACAGAATTCATTTTGGCAATTATTAGATTTTTCTTATTTTTGTAAAGTTCACCAAGTTTCTCTATTTCTGGCATTGTTTTCTGACATGCTTCACACCATGGTGCATCTGTAACAATCATAATAATTGAATTTTTCAATGAATTGAAAAAAAAAAAAAAAACCATTTTAAATGAAATTTCTTTAAATTAAATTCACTTTTTGAACGTATTAAATTCCTTGAAATAAGCCATATTGTAAATATTATTGATAGAAATGAATAATTTACTGAAGCATACTGTCACATGTCACTTAGTAGTAGTGGTAGCAAACATAAGTAATTGGTTTTTGAAAAATTTCAAATTATTGCTATAGCTAATTGAAAACTGATGAAAATTCAATCTAAGATAGAAACAGTCCTATAGCTTATTATACTATATGCTAATTTATATTATAATTTATTTTTATCATCATTGAATTTCTTTTTCTTTAAAAAAAAAAAAGAATATAAGAAATATGAAATATATTTCAGCGTTGTAAGCAGAGCTTTTTTTTTTTGTAATCATAAAGTATTAAATGTTTTGTTAGAAAATTTATGTATCATTTTTTGCTAAATATATTATTGATTGTTTGAAAATAAATCTTAATTATTATAATGTATAGTGGTATGTATTGAAATATAAAAATTGATTCAGTATTTTTCGAATTTTTTTTTTTTATGTTTTTACTAAGCGATATTGAACGTTGTAATGATTTTTTCTTTTTCTTTTTTTTTTTGCGAGAAAACAAGTTTTAAATTAGTTTTTTTTTTTAAATTACTTTTTTTTTTCTGCTTTGCCTTCTTTTCCAATGTTTTCTTATTTATTTATTTATTTTTTTTTTCTCTCTCTTTCTCTATAAATGTTGTTTTTATTAATTTAGAAATATCAAGTAATGAAATAAAGAAAACTTACAGAAGAATACGAAGGTTGTTTTCTTTGGGTCAAATACTTGCTCTTCAAAATTTTTTCCTACTAATTCAATCACTGGTTTTTTATTCCAATCGTCAGGAATTTCTTCACTTTTCAAAAAAGGTATTGCTTTACCATCCAAACATGATTGCACGAATGAAATTATTTCTGCTTTTGTTATCTTTAAATTTATCAGTGATATCAGTGAAAGTGGTATTAAATTCTTTTTTTTTTTTTTTTATAGAGAAATTGTACCTTCTAGATTTATGGGAAAGGGGAAATGCAAAATGCTTCAAAATGAAATATTGGTTAATTTTGTCTGTGTGTAGTATTTATTACTTTTTTCATTTTTAATAATGTGATCTGTTATTTTTTTCACAAATTCTGTAAAGCGATTTTATTGATGGAATATAATGAGAAATGGAATTTTGAATTCATCCTTCATCTTCAGAAAATTCATAAGTTAAGTAATTTAGAAAATAAATACTATGTTTTGAGTGAAATGCTTACTTCTTTCATTTCTGCTTTATACTTTTTGAAGTGCTTTTTAAGACCAACAAATAATACACCAGGCACATCTTCTGCTATTAAACCGAGAAATTCGATTATTTGCCAATTTTCTTCTATATCCGAATTGATATATACAAATTGCACCTAAAATACCTGTTGAATAATTGATCTAAATTTAGTCTTTCCGAATAATATATATAACATTTTTCATTCCTATAATTAGAAACAATTTTGAAATTGAAATATTCGCTTCTTTTGTTGTTTGTGTAAATACTACGAAATTATACTTTTTTTTTTTTTTTTGAAACAGCAAGAAATCTAATTTAAGTTGAAGAATTACCAATGGATAGTTTTAGAAGATGTATAAACTTAAAAATGTGCTATTTAATTTTATCTCATACTTTTTCAATATTGGACATTTTTTCATAAAAGTCTCTATATAGGATTACTTTTTGCATAATTCTATAATGCTTAATTAATATAAAAACGATTGATGCTTAATTAATATAAAAATGATTAATGCTTAATTAATATAAAAATGATTAAACCTTATTCTCGAATTTCTCTGCAGCTTTCTTGAATTCATCCATATAATCATCATAATCTTCGGATTCTTTTGATTCGATTAATATTGCAAATTCTGTATTTTTATTACCATCAAAAATAGACGATCCCGATTCTTTCACAAATTCAGTAACCAAATTTTTCATCTGTAGTATATAATCAATACTTATGCATTTTTATCAGTGATAATATCAAATATTGTTTGAAAATCAGTTCATCTTCTCGTGATGATGTAATTTTATTACACGCCAAATACAGTCAGTCATATTTAACCTCTTTTCTCGTTTTCTTCCCCTCCCCTCCCCCCTCCCCCCTTTTTTTTTTTTTTTTTCCTATTTTTATCGATAAAAATTGATTTTCTTTGTTAAATTATTTTATTTGTTAAACTATTTATCCTACCTAATTTATCCTTTTTCTCCTCCTCTTTTCTCACTCTCTTTCCGCACTTCTTCGTTTATACTATCGTTGATTTAAACCATTTCTTTTTTTTTCTTAATAATATATATATAATTGCTAATATTCTAACCTTTGTTTCAGCTATTGTTCCAAGCAAAGAAAGAAATAGAAATGAATAAATATGAATTTCTCGCAACATTTCGTCCTTCCTTAAAACAGTAGAGATAATGGCTGTAGTAGTAGTAGTAGATGATGATGATACACTGATGACACTTTTGACGACACTTTGATCCAAGTAATCGAAAAAGTGTAATATGCATTTCTCACCATTTTTCTCTCCGTTTTACATTCTCATCATTTTCTTCAATTCTTCCATTTTTATAACCTGTTTTAAAACGGACAAATGAGCATTTTTTTTTTTTTGTTTTTGTGCATGTAAATAACTACTTTTAAAGAAGTCATTAAAATTTTACTGAATAATTATTATTATTATGTATGAATATTGTTGCGAATAACTTTATGATTTATTGATTTATTACGCAAATTAAGAATTATAGTGTGGTATTATAAGTTAATAGTAGTTTAAATATCAAATAATAATTTATAAAATCATATAATCATTTCATCTTTTAAATTATTCAATACTGGAAAAGTATATATTATATATTTAGGATGTAATAGAATGTATGATTTCTTTTTTTTATTTTTTTAGAACGAGATAGAATGAGATGATTTAAATTAATCTAATCGAGAAAAATTATTAAATAATTTATTAAAAAAATATAAATGAAAAAAAAAAGTAATAATTTATCAAAAAAAAAATATATATGTGCCCCTTACATTAATAATTATTATCAATTTTGTTCACTTATTATGAATGACAAATATCATTGCATCTGTATGTTTTATATTAATTTTTTTTTCTTTTTTTTTGTTGTTATTTAAAATATAAAATAGGATGTATCATTTCATTGAATTAGACAGTTATACAGCAAATTTGGTGTAATTTTTTTTTGTGATACAAACAAACATTGAAAAATTCTAAACGAAATTAATCGATGAAAAGTGTTCAATTCATTTTTCACAACGATACACTCTTACATTCATCATCTAATGCTTCTTTGAAAATATTCCATCTTTTTCTAATCAATTTAATCTTTTTTTCCTTTTCTTTTCATTGATTGTCAACAAAATATTTTAAATCATAAAATGAAAAAAACTTTAGAACATCAATTAGCAGTGAAAAAAAAAAATAAAATAAACTCAGATGAAAAGAAAAAAAAGGAAAATTTGTTGATTGAATGTTTCTTACAGTTTAATATAATTCATAGGATTATTTTTTATCACACAATAAAACTTCATATGTATTTTTTTTTTTTTATTTTTGAAAGAGAATGATAATTTCTTTTTTTTTTTCTTGCTGAACGAGAAATGTTCTTTTTATATGGCTGCAAATAAGTTTGTTTTTGTTGTATAATCAACCATTGATGATTGTTTAATAAGTTTAATGTTTATTTTGCACTGCAATATCTACATGGTATTGCTGTATATTCATTAATTAATTTTCATTTTAGGAGTTTGTTTTATTCAAATACTAAAAGAAAAACGAACGATGATTACAGTAAGCAGTGTTGAAAGTAAGTATTCAGACGTATTTATTTGATTATTATATAAAAAAAAAGAGATTTAATGAATTTCTTTTCTCGTTTCTCATATATCTTAGAAAATTTTCCATTTTTTTCTCTCAAGTTTTTCATTTTTTAAAATGGAACAGTTTAGTTTGATATTGCCTAAATTCTTGATTTGGTTTTTTTTTTTGTTTTTTTTGTTGTCTTTTATGAGTATTTTTATTTTAGGATTTATTTATGTTTTATAGTTTCAATACGCTTTTTGATCTTTTTCAGAAAATCGAAAGTTAGGTGAAAGTGTGCGTTCCTTACGTGAACAAGGATTAACTTTTTTGCAAATTGCTCAAGAACTTAAGGTCTTTTTAATTATAAATTAATTTGACATAGTTATTTATGTAAAGAGCCAAAAATCATACATAGGAACACTTAGATGATTCCTTGATATTGTCAGATTAATTTGCAACCAATTTTTGCTATACTCCAAATATTACTCCAATATTGACATTAGGAATAAAGTAAAGAAGTGAATGATAGTGAAATGCCATTTTTCTGTTTCTTTTTTTTTTTCTTTTTCATTTGAACTTTATTTAGTGGAATATATAAAAATTTTCGGTATAAGTTCAGGTCTAAAATTTGATTTACATTTTTTATTTTCCTTATTTCCTTAAGTTTAGCAAATTTCAACCTGTGAACTTCATTTTTAGTATACTAATGTTCGCATTCGTTAATATAGCAGGTATTTCTAGAAACTTTGAGATAAACTTGAATATTGAATAGTTAGTTATGTAATCTAAACAACTATATAGATAGTGAACTTTTATCAAGAGGCTTTATTTGTAGAAATCTATTGTTATATTATTAAATAATATTTATATATTTCAGCAACCGTTATCAACCTGTTATTCAGCAATGAGATCGCTAAAATTATCAAAAGACTATACAGAAACTTTGAAGATGATTGTGAAGAAAAAGAAACGGGATTGTACTGGATCTTTGCAGTCTGTAAGTATTTATATGTTGTCTTTGATAATTTAAAAGTTTTTACACGTTGAAAGATTGAAGATCCTTATTTTAGAAGATTATAAAATTGTTGCTTGATGGATTTAATTAGCAAATGAGCCAAATATTTACAATAATAAATGAATAGTACTAAAATAAGATCCTATGATGGACATTATAGGGTGGTAGTTGCTGTTCAAGTTCAGAATCAGATCAGCTGGTTGATGAATCTCCTTCTGTTCAAACTTCATCATCCTTAACTCTTTCATCACCAACCTATACAACTTGCGGCTTAACATCTACTACAAATCAACTTTTGAATGCAGTGAACAGATCAATCGAAGCAGCTCCTTGGCATCAGCAACTTCGCTATAATATGGTATCAAAAAGCTGCATTATTTCTTGATTTTCTTTATTATGTTACTATAGAAATACTAGAATGAAGGAAATTTGAAAATTGTCATCAATTTTAGAAAAATGAAGGTGAAGGTGAAGAACGTCGTATAACAATTGATCAGTCATCAACGACATTTCCAGTTGCTACTGCTTCTTTCACCAATACGGAAGCCATTTCATCATTTGTACCATATCGAGAAATAAATCCAGAAACTACTTTTCTGGAAGAGGCTAAACGTATTGCTTCATCAACACCATTTAAGGTGAATTGTAGCAGAATTAATTCAATTTTCAAAATAAATTAAGTAGCAATAAATGACATTTCGATGGTCTTTAATATTGTAAGCTTAATTTAGTTTTAGTGTTCATTTTCTTAATTTATTTATAAATTTTTTTCTGTAAAACTGTAAATTGCACCATGTATTACCGGTTATTACTAGTTTTCTAGTCAGTCTAGAACTGATTGTTTTCTAATAATTCCTTCTCCTCTTAAACTGTATGCTATTTTAGGATAACGATAGCGTGAAAGTAACTGTTTTGGAGGAGAATGCTGAAAATGCCATAACTCAAAAATTAGCATGGGCTTTGGAACAACTGGAAAATTCAAAGAAACCTGATGAAATTGTGCAGTTAATGAATGTGGTCGCTAGTGCTTTAAACATATTGAACAGTTTAAAAGTCAAAGATAATACTACATCCCAAATTTAAAGGCATGTTTTGATATCCTATGCTATGCTAATTGTAATTGTTATGTTGAAAATAAGGAACTGATTATATCTGATGCTTGATTTTTGACAAATTATATCTTTCTCTTTTCATTTCCTAGCTTAAAAATCGAGAACTGAAATAAATTGTCACAGGACCAAGATGATAATACAAATAGAAGTGGAAAATTGTTATTATTTATTATCATCATAACAGCGGAAATTCAAGTGTAAAATTTTGCTAGGCTTTTGAAGATGGCTGTATAAAAGAAATTTGTAAATTAATTTAAGTGCAATCTAGGAATTGATCATCGTTGATTTGATTACTCACAAAAAAAAAAATAAATAAAACATTTTATGGAACAATATCTAAATAAAATAGAATTCTGTTTTGGGATAGTTTAATAGGGTTGTCACTTTTTAGTTTCTACCCATCATTCGAATTGTAATAGCTCTTTAGAGAATGACGTTTTATGTAAATGATGTCTTCTTGTAGATATCACTTGACAGTTGCAATTCTATCCAAAATATGAGCAGGTGATAGATTCATAAAAATTTTAGTGATTTAAATATCTAATATCTCAATGTCATCATCCATTCTTCCAATTTACTCTCTTGGGTATTATTTTGAAGCAAATGGTAGAATCCCATACATTTCCTTAAATTACGATAAATCCCGTATGATAACGGTAAATTATCTTGAACATTCTCTCAAATGATTTTTCATAATAAAAAGTTTGACATTAAAATATAGCACAAATATTTTTCTATTTTATAATCAGTTTTTATTATTCGTCATTTTCCTTATTAAATTACGGCACATGTATTATTTGCTTCAATATTATTGAAAATTTTTGGAAATGATTAAAGATGAAGATTATAATTACATTTAGAATTTTGCATATTTGCGTTATATTTCTTCATTATTATTATTATTACTATTACTATTATATAAAATCTAGACATATCATTTTATATAATAAGATTTGCACATTGTGCTATATTAAGTTAATCGAAATTTTCCATTGAGATTTATTTCCTTTTAGCGGTTTCTTTCTATTCTTTTGACAATATTTAAATTAATGGTTTCACTTGTTTAAACTAATAAGAATTTTTCTTTTTCTTTTTTTTTTTCTTTTGTTTTTCTTGTAATCAAACTTGAGAGAGAATATATATATATTGTCCATAGAGATTTTGCATATTGACAAATTGATATGATTGTTTTTCATATGCATATCATTTCTCACTTCATTTCCTAGTGTTACTATTATTATACAAACTTTATTTCAAGCAGTTGTCTTTTTTTTTTTTTTGGGATTTTTTCATATTTTATAAATTTTTAAAAGTTTCTTCTATCGAAAGGATATCATTATCAATTGATGTTTTATAAAATCAATGGGAAAGTTTACATGTTTATTTGTGAAAAAAATTTTTTTTCACTATTTATTTCTCATCATTTTTGCTGTTACTTTAATGCAATTCTCATCTTGATATGTATTTTGTAGCAATTGCAATTTTTATCAGTTAATTACTTTTCGTGAGTTTCTCATTTCCATCTTAAAATACTTTCTTTTTTTTTTTACGTTTAAAAAATAAAAAAGTTGAACAGAAAAAGAAGGAAAAATTAATTGAAGATAAAACATTTGGACTGAAAAATAAGCAAGGAGCAAAAAGACAGAAATTTATACAACAAGTGACAAATCAAGGTAAATCATATCGTTTAAATCTCATAATAATCAAGGAACAGATTTACTTGATATTATCTTACTCATTTTTGAAGTATAAACTGACATCAAATTTTAAAGACAAAAAACTCACTCCTTTAACTTTTTCATGATATCTTCATTTCTCTGAAATATATTTGCAATTTTTTAAGTAAATTTCATACAGCACAATTTTTACATCGGAACCTTATATCTTATATTTTTAGCACCTCTATTTTATTCAAAATTTTTTTCTTTTGCCTTCAGCATTCTCTTATTGCTAAAGGAGTTTTAGAGAATAGAGAATATATTGAATATTGAAGTCATCTTGGAAGATATTTATCAATTAGACTATCACTCTATTACAGAACTAAAGATCGAATGTTCATTAATAGTGATAATATATACCTATTAAAAGGATGATTATCATTAAAGAAATATAATCAAGATTCGTCGATCAATTCTGTGATATCATTTTTAACTTTAGTAATACAATTAATGTAAGCTGAGCAAAAAAAATCTCTCTCTCATTGAAGTCAATGATCTTCTTCTGATCACATCTTTTGCATCATATCTTATATTTGAAGCTAAATTAAACTTAACATTTTATCAATATTAAATCACAATTACAATATTGTAACAATTATTTGAATATCATTAAAAAAAAAAAAAAAAAAACTAAATCATCCATTCATTGTTGTATAAATTTACTTGTATTTATCAATTACAATCATATCACTTATCAATTACACCATTACCGTTGATCAGTATTTGTGGTATTATCAATTTTAAGTGTGCATTTACGATCTCTGAATAAGGGAGAGAGAGAGAGAGACAGAACCAAAAAAAAAGGAAAAGAAAGGGAGAGAGAAGTAGGAGAGAGAGAGAGGGAGGGAGAGAGAGAGAGATCAAGGAAATCCTAAAACTCCCAGTAAATGAACAAATAAATAACATACATAAAATAGTCCTTCACAAAATGTCATTTCAACATTCATAGACTGTGCAATACGCTACACTGACATCAATTGTCGACCATGCAAAATGTCAGTATGTTATGTTGATAGAAGTAATGAACCGTGAAAATTTACAAGTGCGTACAATTCTATGATAATATCTTGGAGTTTTAAAGTAATGTTTCTATGAGTATATTTGTTTGATTTTAATGAAATTTGTATGTAACCTTTTTTGTGTTAATTTAAGAGAAAAAAGAAAGAAGAAAAATTGAATTAAATTATCATCTTCAGTTTATTGTAAATTGTTCTATATATATATTTTACCGTAAAAAAGTGATCATTAAATTTTTCTTTCTTTTTCTTTCTGCATTATTTTTGCTTATTTTTGAAAAGGATTTGAATGAGGAATAAAGGAAATAACAGTAATAGGGTAAAATATTGTTTGTTTATTGAGCTGATCTTTGACTTAACATAGAAATTTTAAATGTTACCTAATAATGAGTACTGTAAAGTTTTATTTCAAATATGTCAAATTCCATAGGTTATTTATTTGATAATGAGCTGATGATCTATGTAATATGCACGATCATAGCGCAAAAAGCAGAACAAATAAGTTCATCAAAGCATATCATTTAGTGATTATTTAACTATTAATTACGCGATGTTGTATCACTTTTTACATATGGTACTTCGTAATATAGCTATCGATTTTTTCTTTTCGTTAATTTTGTAATGACTTGAATTAGTTGTTTGCATTTTCGGTGAACAAAGAAAGGGTTGTTATTATTTTGGCGGTGTAGTGGGCTTATTTTAGTGGAGGAGTATGGGTGAATTGCAGTCAGCGCTTCTTCTCAGAAAACAACTTGCAGGTAAGAATTTTCTTGAACATTCTAGACCTAAATTAGTTGCATTTGCCATTCATTTGGATAACTCAAATTCACACCTGGACGTGTATTTGTAAATATTCGCTATGGATTATTGATGTAGGAAAGTTACAAAAATCAATCAGAAGTAAGGTTTAGTATCGCAGGTTTTCGGTTAAGTCCTTTTTAGGAAATAGGAAAATATTTTTAGGCTATTAATTTCTGTGCACCTATATAAGTTAAAGTGGAAATGAAAAGGAGAAGTAAAAGGAAAATGCAATATCAATGAAATTAGTTCCACCACTTCCAGATACCGAGACACATGCTAAGGTTTCTAGAACTTGTAAAATACGTGTTCGTCAAAGATGTAATTATTTTTCTTGCAGAATTAAAACGAGTTCCTGTTGATGGATTTTCAGCAGGTCTTCAAGGTGATGACATCTACAAATGGGAAGTGCTTGTTATTGGGCCGCCTGACACACTTTAGTTAGTTTATTGAAATTGTTTAGAAAAAAAAAAATAGTCCAAGAAACTGTCGTCGAAAGGTGTTGGATGAGATTCATCGGAAAGTTTTCGCAGTTGACCTTTTGAACCCATTATGATATGACCTTATGTCATGAACTTTTGGATATATGTTGTAAAGTGCAGCTCTTTTTGCATGAAAGCAGCGATACAAATTAAAAATACTGGTTATTTTAGCGAAGGAGGATTCTTTAAAGCGCTTCTGGAATTTCCCAAGGAATACCCATTGTTGCCGCCAAAGATGAAGTTCATTTCTGAAATTTGGCATCCGAACAGTATGTGTAGTTCATATTTTATCACTAAAAATAATTTGTGTTCAGATAAAGAAAGGATAATTAAATCTTATTTAATATTAGAAATTACCTCCCTATATTACCTTCTTCCCATAAAATATGATTTGATCACTCCGATTATGTAGTGTTGAGGCTTCAGCTTAATGATGAAAAAGTTTGTCATGATTACAAGAGGATAAATTACTTCAAGTCACAGAATGCTTAACTAGCGGTGGCTTATACGGTGTTATCATAAATCATTTTATAAAATTAATACTTGATTGGTGCTTGTTATGTGTTACTTCCAGCAGTCAATACACATTTAATAAATCTCGGGATCGCCATTTTCTTACTATGCTGAATGATGTTCCGATCTTTAATTTTTTCTTCAGTTGACAAGGAAGGCAATGTTTGCATATCGATATTGCACGAACCAGGAGATGATCGATGGGGTTACGAGAAGCCAGAAGAAAGGTGGTTACCTGTGCATACCGTAGAAACAATTCTTCTTTCTGTTATATCGATGCTTGCAGATCCAAATCACGATTCACCTGCAAATGTTGATGCCGCGGTAAGATTTATTGATTTTTACTGTAGCTGTTAGTAATTACAAATGAATACGTATTTTGAGCTGTGAAGATTTGTCCATATGTCGAAGTTTTCTGTTGCAGTTTGAGAATGACAAAAATTGATTGACTAATGAGGGAGCAGTATAACATGCGTTTCTCAATCTTTAAACAAGCCTAGAAAACATACTGCAATGTGTTAGTGAGATATAAGCAACAAGCCAAACCATTAGATGAAATAGCTTAGTATAGGCATTATAGATCCTATTCGAGTAGTTCATTCATGGTCAAACTGCTGTTGTATTTCTTCTAAGCTTTAAGTTTGATAAAATTCTTTTTTTTTTTTTTTATCTGCATGAGCTAGGAATTTACTTCTAGAAGATGCAACGCGAAAATTTTGCTGAATTCAAGAAACGTGTAGCAGCCTGCGTTCGAAAGAGTCAAGAAGAGGGTTGTTAATTGTGAAATAGTGAATTACTATTCACTCTTTTTATCCTCTCTTACGATGATTGTTAGAGCTGTGAGTTATTATTTTTGTTATTAGAATCTGTTTTTCTTCCCCACTTCCCCCCCTCCCCCATTCAGTTCATGTTCTGTCATTTTACAGGTCTTAATAAAAGATGTGCAAGATGTGATCCATTATATTATTATCAATGATGATACGTTATGTTTATTGCTTTGTTCTCTTTTTTTCTTTCTTTTCATTGTGTGATTTATGATTTATCTTGAAATATATAAATGTGCTTGAAAAATTGATGTTTTCAACAATTGAACAAAAAAAAAAAATTAAAAGAATTTGTGATATGAATTTAAATCATTATCATGGAACAATCATATAAGAATGGAATAATGAATGAAAATTAGTTACTATGTGTAATATATGGTATAGCTGGACGTTTTTTATCACAACAAAGCATGCACAAAGAATATTTCTAGGTTCTTAATGTTTGGAATATCGATTCATTTCTAATCCGTCGGAGATATATCTTGGAGATAAAAGAAATAAATCTCTGTCAAAGATTATTGGTTTCTTCTTTTTGCAGATATTTAATTGAATTCAATGAACAAGGCTAACAGAATAAGGCTATTTTCATCACAAAATAAAAGAGAAAGCACCAATAAATAGGGACTTTTACAAATGTTTTGTTATAATATCTGAGTTTATGTTTTACACTAAGTGTAAAATACGTTTTACATATTGAACGGTATGATGCAATGTAATTAGGTCAATTTATTAATGTGTAAAAGAGTTCGAATTACGTCTACTGGATGCGTAGATGGCGTAAACTCATTGATCATCGAGATATGCTCACAATATAGCAATATGAAGTCGGTGTAATTTACAATTCGTTCGTCTCGATTTAACAAATGAGGATAAAAGATGGAGCAGTGACGTGATAACCAATATCGATAGGTACTATCCAGACTAGAAGCAAAACTCAGCTTTCCATTTTTTCGACCTATAAAAAAATAAAATAGAAAAATTTGGAAAAATAGGAAAATAAAATGGATAATTTATCTAATTGACATATGCATATTCATTTAATTTGAGTAAATTTTAGTTAAAAATAAATAAAATTGAATTTTTGAACTTAAGTATAATTATAATTTAAGAAATGGCAATGAATATATAAGTAAAACTAATAAATAATTAAACAAATATTAAGCTAAAAAAAAAAAAAGAGATATTTAGACATTAAGATTATTTCAAGAAGTAATAACCCAATTTGCAAAGAGCATAGCATACTGTTAGTCGTATTTCTTCACAATCTAAATTGCTAATATAATCGTCTTGTCTTGCTGATTGTATTACTTCGTTTAACTAAAGAAAAGAAGAAGAATTAAAAGTAATTTTGGATGAATTAATTTCTGTTCTAAATGAAATTTCAAACATTTCAATTGTGATTTCTAAAATAAACTTATTTAACTATTATTGATCTGTGTGATATTTTAGCAAAAAAGAAAAAAAAGTGAAAGTGAAAACTTTAATAATTTTTCAGTTATTTTAACATTATATTTTATATTTTTTATATTTTAACATTATATTACTAGAGATATATTTTATATTTATATTATATTCTAATATTATATATTACTAAAGATCAATTAGCTATATCAAAAATTAATAATTCAACTTTCCTGATTAGTTATCAGTTAGCTATATTATCAATTAGCTATATCAAAAATTAATAATTCAGCTTTGCTGATTAGTTATCAATTAGCTATATCAAAAATTAATAATTCAACTTTCCTGATTAGTTATCAATTAGCTATATCAAAAATTAATAATTCAGCTTTCCTGATTAGTTATCAGTTAGCTATATCAAAAATTAATAATTCAACTTTCCTGATTAGTTATCAATTAGCTATATCAAAAATTAATAATTCAACTTTCCTGATTAGTTATCAATTAGCTATATCAAAAATCAATAATTCAACTTTCCTGATTAGTTAAATTGATCAGATCATATTATGACCTGATAACCATTTATAAAAATTGATTGAGAAGAATTTTACTTAACCTTTAGATCACGAAGAGGTGGTATATCTATAGCGATAGTACAATGAAGTATAAAAAATGCTGGCCAGTAACGAGATAGGATTGTAAATTTATCTGCCGGTGAAATAAAACTCATCAAAATTGTATTGAGTGGACGTCGAATTGCTTCTATTAGTATTTGCTCTTCTAAATTTGTTTTTCTTTTCTTTTTCGATATAATAATTTTGATTTAAATTTTATGCTAACGAATAAAAATTTAAATTTATTTACTAATATAATTTATATTTTAAAATGATTTAGTGAAGTTAATCAGAAATCAGACAAAATATATTGTCAGATATATCAGTTATTCAAATTATCTAATCAATTTAGTATACTGGATACATTGATCATTGAAATGATACTTATCACTTAAATGATATGATAAATTGTTTTATTTTTAATTTGTTTTTAGCAGAAATGCTTAATAAATATTATCTAGTGTTACATTCTGATAAGTTTTATTGTAAGTTTATGATAAGCTTATTCCTAGCATACAGAATTACTTCAATTATAAGTATTTATTTTGAAGGATTATTTCTTATCAATTAACTCTAAAAAAAGAAAAAGCAAATATTTGTAAATGAAATTGATTGATCGATCAATTTTGATACAATAAATTTTTTCATAGAAACTTACTTTTTTCACTGATTGAATATTCTATTAATAATTTCACTCGTTTATCTGTACGTGGACCACGTTCCTTTTGCACAGCTATAATTAATTATTTGTCGATTAAAATTTTTTTAAATTTGAAATAAATTTTATCATAACACAATTTATACATAGTTTCTAAGTTATTCACTAAAATATAAAGAAGAAATAGTGAAAAGTATAGGAAAAAAAAACATTTGTTTGAATGATATTAATAAATTGAAATTATAAATATATTTTTTGAAATTATATTTTGAAATTAAATTGAAATTATAAATACAATTTAAGATATCGAATTAAGGTTATAACTATGACTAAAATTCAGTAATAGTATATGTAAATATATTTTTACTATTAATAAATTTTGTTATTAACTCTATAAATCTATCTGATTCTTATTTCTAAAAAAAAAAAATTCTAAAAAAAGACATTACAGATATGTTTTTGCTTCTAATTTACGTGAAACACGTTTAACCTCACGTGATTTTTGATAATCCTATATACTTATCAGATACTTATACTTATCATAGAGTTGTAAAAGCAAGTTTTTTTTGAAATTTTCTTCAACCTTTTCACTATTCAAATGAACAGTGTGCTAAATTATTTAAGAATAATAGCTAAAAATTAAATCATTCAAAAAAAAAAAAAAAAAATTAAATCAGAATTTCTGAATGATTGAATTTTTAGGTATTTTTCTTAAATAATTTAGCGCTGTTCATTTGAAAATTACTTTCTATTAACTAAACTTTAACGATTAGTGGTAATAAAAATGAAAAAATATTTTGTATATTTCATGTAATCTAATAATATGAATTAATAGAAATTAACTAAGAATAGAAATTGATTGAAAATTTTTCAATCAATCTTCAAATAACAATAAAATTTGAATAAAACAAAGAAAAAAAAATTCTTTTTAAAAATAAAATTTTATTAAAAAAAAAAATTCTTTTTAAAAATAAAATTTTATTAAAAAAAAAAAAGAAAGAAAAAGTTATTTCTTGTCATTTCTTGATCTCTCAATGATTATCAAACCAATCATTCATTCATTCATTCATTCATTCATACTTACCATTCCGGTTCATTTGCATTTGAAAGCATTTGCGTAATCGGCAAGATGGACACCAATTCCGGCGTGTTTTATCAACCGGACAATTATTACCACCAGCTGTAATCTTATATATAGCATAAAAATTGAATGTTTTCTATACAATCATGCAAAAAGTGTTGCAAATTAGCGCACGAAATATTGCATACTTAAAAGTAAACAATATTAAATTGTTTATTTACTTTTTTTTGAAATCTAAAATATTTAATGGTTAAAATTAAATATTGTCATCAATTAATTCTATTATATTTCATGCAATACTTTCCTTCATTTAATTAATGTAATATTTCATGTTAACATTTGCAGAAATAATATAACATTACGTAAAAATCATATTTACGTATCATATTTCACGTACGTCATGCTATTTCACTTCAGCAGATAAAATAGAGTGTAGTGAAGAAATAAAAATCATATTTACGTATCATATTTCACGTACGTCATGCTATTTCACTTCAGCAGATAAAATAGAGTGTAGTGAAGAAATAAAAATCATATTTACGTATCATATTTCACGTACGTCATGCTATTTCACTTCAGCAGATAAAATGGAGTGTAGTGAAGAAATAAAAATCATATTTACGTATCATATTTCACGTACGTCATGCTATTTCACTTCAGCAGATAAAATAGAGTGTAGTGAAGAAATAAAAATCATATTTACGTATCATATTTCACGTACGTCATGCTATTTCATTTCAGCAGATAAAATGGAGTGTAGTGAAGAAATAAAAATCATATTTACGTATCATATTTCACGTACGTCATGCTATTTCATTTCAGCAGATAAAATGGAGTGTAGTGAAGAAATAAAAATCATATTTACGTATCATATTTCACGTACGTCATGCTATTTCACTTCAGCAGATAAAATGGAGTGTAGTGAAGAAATAAAAATCATATTTACGTATCATATTTCACGTACGTCATGCTATTTCACTTCAGCAGATAAAATAGAGTGTAGTGAAGAAATAAAGCAAAATCGATTGTCATAAAAAGAAAAAAAAAGAAAAGGAAAAAGCTAATGATGTGACATTAATGTGACATTTACTATCACAAAACAACAATTACGTGTGAAAAACTTACAAACGCACGTGTAGTTAATGTTGCGTCTAATGCTGTAAAGAAAAAAAAAAAAAACAAAAAACAAATTTTTTTTTCTAAAAAATATTTACAGGTAAATTTAGCTTTTGAATTCATTTTATGAGCACATGAATCGTTATCAAATAGTCTAAAATCTCATATTAATTTCTGAAATTTACAATTTTAATTTGCAATTGACTTTTACCATTTCAATTAACAATTAATTTTTAATTTTTTGTATTTAAATTCAATGAAAGCAGAAATTATTTTTAGTATTTTATATATGGTTGCAGTGATTGAAAAAGTAGAATGAAATGTGTTTGTTAAATGGTATAAGTAAGTAATTAATTAATCGAATTAATCGAAAATGATTTGATAGTATAGCCATTTTAAATTATTTAAGTTATTTTTATTGTTGAATGGTATAAGTAAGTAATTAATTAATCGAATTAATCGAAAATGATCTAATAGTATGATCATTTTAAATTATTTAAGTTATTTTTATTGTTGAATGATATAAGTAAGTAATTAATTAATCGAATTAATCGAAAATGATCAAATAGTATGATCATTTTAAATTATTTAAGTTATTTTTATTGTTGAATGATATAAGTAAGTAATTAATTAATCGAATTAATCGAAAATGATTTGATAGTATAGCCATTTTAAATTATTTAAGTTATTTTTATTGTTGAATGGTATAAGTAAGTAATTAATTAATCGAATTAATCGAAAATGATCTAATAGTATGATCATTTTAAATTATTTAAGTTATTTTTATTGTTGAATGATATAAGTAAGTAATTAATTAATCGAATTAATCGAAAATGATCAAATAGTATGATCATTTTAAATTATTTAAGTTATTTTTATTGTTGAATGATATAAGTAAGTAATTAATTAATCGAATTAATCGGAAATGATCTAATAGTATAACCATTTTAAATTATTTAAGTTATTTTTATTGTTGAATGGTATAAGTAAGTGATTAATTAATCGAATTAATCGAAAATGATCAAATAGTATGATCATTTTAAATTATTTAAGTTATTTTTATTACTGAATAGTATAAGTAAGTAATTAATTAATCAAAAATGATCAAATAGTATGATCATTTTAAATTATTTAAGTTATTTTTATTGTTGAATGGTACAAGTAAGTAATTAATTAATCGAATTAATCGGAAATGATCAAATAGTATGGTCATTTTAAATTATTTAAGTTATTTTTATGCTAAGCTAATTTTAAAGAAAAATAAGATTGAACTGAATGGACAAAATGAATGTATTTGATGGTAAGTTTAAGTAAAATTAAGTATTTTTTTTTCAATCATTAAGTAAAATGTTACAATCAAATAAATTTTGATTTTTAAAATTTTGATTACTATTTGAAAAAAAAAAAACAAAAGAAGGAACCTTCGTTTGAAAAAGCAACTGCATCCATCACATGTCCATAGACCATAATGTCGTCCAGAACTTTTGTCACCACATATTTGACAAGTTATTTGTACAAATTCATTATGTCCTTAAAAAAAAAGAAAAGAAAAGAGATAAAAGAACTTTTTGAAAATTTTCTTTTTCATTTATTTGAAATTGTTGAATTAAATTTTAATTTTGAAATTTTATGATTTGTTAAAATTTCGCAAAAATTTATTTGTAAAAAGTAAACACACATTTGAAATTTGAAAATTTACTCTCTAAATCAAAACAGTATATAGTAAATTTATGAGAATGATAGATTAAATAATAAATAAAAATTCTTATTTACTCATCGTTTTTCAAAAATGTTTGTTCGCTTCGACGATTGTAAAATAAATTTGCTCTGAAATACGTAAAAAAATATTCGCAATTAAATTACTTTTAAAAGTTAAAATTTACTACGTTGTATATTAAGCAGTACAATAAAATTTAATAAAATAAAGGAAATTATCAATAAGAAATATGAATAATTATTTTGTTTCAAATAAACAAAATTTGAAATTCATTAGTTTCTTTTAATGTTTGTTTAGAAATATTTTGAAATTTGTAGAAATTTTACATTTTTAGATTTTCGAATTTTTAGAATTTTTAGATTTTCTTACTTAAAAATATTTTGAAAAAATATTTTTGCACAATTTTGTGTTTTAATTTTTAGCAGAGTAAATTGCAAAATAATATTGTAAAAGTATTGTAAAAGTAAAGTAACATTGATAATTTTTTATTGCAATTTAAATTTTAACTAACTTTAAAAATTTTCAATAAATCAATTAATAAATGTAAAAAATTTATTTAATCAAGCAAAATGTTAATAAATCTTTTCATCTTTTTTTTTCCAAAATTTCATCCAAAATGTCAACAAATTTTTTTTTTTAAAAATTCTGACTTGTAAATTTCTTTTTTTTTTTTTTAAATAATTCATTTCAAGAAGTATACTTATCTGAGTTATCATAAAAGAATGCTTATCACTTATCAGAAATGAACACACACACACACATGTATGTAATGTATCATACAATGGGCAATAAAATAAATTAATAATAGTTTGAAAAAAAAAAATTTTTTTGAACGATAAGTCGAGAATTATTTTTTTGTCGAGAATTCTACTCTTGAATTTCAGTATTATCTAATACTTTTTTTCAATGTAATTCAGGTGTTATTAAAAGAAATAAAAATGAATTTTAATTTTATTCATTTTTTTCTACACGAAACATTCATTTATTACCTTTTTTTTTCTTTTATAATTTACATTTATCACCTTTTTTTACTTTTATAATTGTAAACAATTTGTTTACAAACAATTTGTAACACTATAATTGAAAATGTCAAAGGTTAATCTAATATTTTATTAGTATTACTGTGATATCAAAATTTTTTTTTTCTTTTTTTTTTATGCTAAATTAGAAAAAATAAATGAAAAAAAAAAAAAAAAAAAAAAAAAAGGAAAAACCTATCAAACATTTTAGAGAAACAAAATTTATAATAATGAAAATTTATTTTACTTCTATCTATTATCTTTCAAAATTAGTTTTAGCAATTAATAATCAGTCAGTTATACCTTTACCTTACATTTTCAAACATTTAGAAATGTAATCATAACAATTACATGGTGACAATGGGAATGTCAAACAGCAAAACTTAGTAATTTATCCGGAAAAAAGGAAAAAAGGTAAAAAGAAATAAATTAAATGGCATTTGTCTATTGAATAACTAAGTCTATCATTTCAATTCATTTTCACATCCCTTTTTTTTCATTTATTTGTTAACTTTTACTGGTAAAAATTGTATTATATTTTTCTTTTTCACATCGATTAAACTATTCAATTAAATAAGAAAAAAAAAATCACACACTTTGCTATTAATTTTATTCCTACGTAACAAAATTAATAATACTTTTATTTTCAATCTAAAATTTATTTATTTAATCTAATCCTTTCTTTGTTTTCTTTTCTTTTTCATTTTTCATTTTTCATTTTTTTTTGTTTGATCTTTCCTGATTACTTGTTTACAAAGTATTGTATATTAATTAAACTATCATTATAATACCTGAATGGCTATTAATTTTATTCCTACGTAACAAAATTAATAATACTTTTATTTTCAATCAAAAATTTATTTATTTAATCTAATCTTTTCTTTGTTTTCTTTTCTTTTTTCATTTTTCATTTTTTTTTTTTTGTTTGATCTTTCCTGATTACCTGTTGTATATTAATTAAACTATCATTATAATACCTGAATGAATGCCGTATTTCATTTTTTATAATTTTGTATAAAAATTAAAATAATTTATAAATGAATACACATATATATGTATATGAATAATATAACAATAATATAAAATTTGAAAATATTCATTCTCATCACTGTAAATTTCATTCCGGTTTTTATTTTTTTCAAATTTTCCTGCTTACTCAAGTTTGTTCCGTTTTTTCGCTTTATATTCACTGGAATCTTGTTTGCTTTCTTTAGATTCCGGTTTATCTTCCTCAGATTTTGGTTTGCTTCGTTTAGATTCCGGTTTATCTTCCTCAGATTTTGGTTTGCTTCGTTTAGATTCCGGTTTATCTTCCTCAGATTTTGGTTTGCTTCGTTTAGATTCCGGTTTGACATCATCAGATTTTGGTTTACTTTCTTTCGAATCCGGTTTGACAACATCAGATTTTGGTTTACTTTCTTTCGAATCCGGTTTCATTTGGTCAGATTTTGATTTATCATTTTTAGATTCCGATTTATTTTTTTTTAATTTCAATTTATTTGCATTAGTATCTAACTTAGATTTCTTATGTCTTTTCGATTTTCTCTCTTCCAACAATCGTTTATTCATCAAATCTTTGTAGAGATTCTCGAGAACGCTTGGAATTTCTATTTTTTTATTTTTACTTTGTACAGCTGCTACCATTCTAAGAAAATTTAATAAAAATTAGCTAATTTTTCTTTTTTTTTTTTCTGTCTTTCATTTTTCTTAAAATTCAAATTAATTCTTATAAAATTAATTTAATTTAGCCATTCTATCATAAATCTAATAATTAATGATATGTTACAATTATAATATATCAATGGAAATTTGTTATTTCACCAAATTTTTAAAACAATAAAAAAGAGATAGAGAGAGAGAGAGAGAGAGAGGGAAAAAGAGAGAAGAAAAGATATTACTTAACTATTACAAGAAGATTCTATCAAAAAGCATTTAAAAAAAAATAAAATTAAAATTTAAAAAACAAAAAAAATTGATCGGTATATTTTAGTAAAATAAAATTTGTTAATTTATTTACCAAACAGATGGAGAGAGAGGGAAAGAGAGAGAGAGAGAGGGAAAAAGAGAGAAGAAAAGATATTATTTAACTATTACAAGAAGATTCTATCAAAAAAGCATTAAAAAAAAAATTAAAATTTAAAAAACAAAGAAAATTGATCGGAATATTTTAGCAAAATAAAATTTGTTAATTTATTTACCTACCTAGGTATATTTGTTAATTTATTTACCTACCTAGGTATATTTGTTAATTTGTTTACCTACCTAGGTATATTTGTTAATTTATTTACCTACCTAGGTATATTTGTTAATTTATTTACCTACCTAGGTATATTTGTTAATTTGTTTACCTACCTAGGTATATTTGTTAATTTATTTACCTACCTAGGTATATTTGTTAATTTATTTACCTACCTAGGTATATTTGTTAATTTGTTTACCTACCTAGGTATATTTGTTAATTTATTTACCTACCTAGGTATATTTGTTAATTTATTTACCTACCTAGGTATATTTGTTAATTTATTTACCTACCTAGGTATATCATCATTAATGAATTGATCCAAATTATGCATTTGCTCTTCGTTTACTTTATTCCATCCTTTAATATATGACAAACGTGCTTTTTCCAAAAAAGGCTACAAAAAAAAAGGCTAATAATTAAGCATTTTTTGCAAGAAATAAAAATGCTGCATGCAAAAAATGCATGCAAAAAATGCATGCATATCATTATAATATTGCATGCAATGATATTTTCATTACAAATATTATTGTAATGAAAAATTTTTGCTCATCTTTTTTTTGCTATATTTTATTTAAAATTTCATTTAGTATATTTTATTAAAAAAAAAAAATTTTTTTTTTTTTATATTTTATTTGAAATAAATAAAATAATAAAAGTATAAAATATTAAAATATACCAATATGTCAGGTAAATCACTTTCTGCAACTCGCAAACGATATTTGAAATCATCTAATATTTGAAGTAAATTATATTGTGTTACAACACGTTTCAATTCACCATTTGATTTACACCACATCTAAAGTAAATAAAAGTAATATTTGTTATCTTAAGTAAAGATTATAACCGATAAAGCTTATAATTCATTTTAAAATAATACTTAAATTATCAAATAATTATATAAACTTTTAAAAAAAATCTAAAAAATAGATTTTATTTCCCAGATTTCCTAGTCTAAAATATATTATTATTATTTATTTATTTATTTATTTATTTATTTATTTTTTTTTTTAATTGAAAATAAACATAATCAGGTATGTTGTTAAAAATTTTTTAGCAAAATTATTTAACTTTTTTTTTATGAAAATTTTGTTATTTTCTATGAGTATTAACTTAATATTTATTATAGAGATCTGATTGATCTAATTGAATTAGCCATAATTAAAATTATAATTAAAATAATTAAAATAATTAAAATTTTATACATAATTAAAATAATTAAAATGTATAATCAAAATATATAAATACATAATTAAAATAATTAAAATTTTATCAACAATAAAAATTGTTATAATTTATTAAAATTTGTACAAAAAATAAAACTCAAAACTTATTCATGCAATTATTAAATATTATGCGAAATTATTAGTAATCTTAATATGCATTTATCAATTTATTGTTTTAAATTAAATTGATATATTTTAGAAGAACCTAAAATCAAATGCAAATTAGTTTAATTACTTAAAACTATAAGTTTACCTTGAAAGCTTATAAATATCATAGATACAATCATTGGTGCTAAATGAATTAAAAAAAATTTTAATTTATGCAACATTTACCTTCTTAAGAAGATATTCCATAATAAGCGCATGAATTTTTAATTTCTTGGCACGTTTAATTACGTCGTTTAACTTACGTACGTTACAACCCGATGGAAGTAATTTTAATTCATCAAAGAAATCAATATATTCTTGTGTAAAGATTTCATGCACTTCAGAGCTCTTAAAATACAAATTTATTTTCATTTTTTATTTGAATTATTTACAATAATAATTGAAAAGTAAAATTCAACAGAAAAGGAAAAAAATAAAAATTAATTTTTTTATTTCATATTTTTTGCTAAATTTAAATATTACTCGAGAAAAAGAAAATAATTAATAGCACAAACAATTGTATCTTTGGAATCCGCCGTACAAAATGAACCAATAAAAACTTTAGGAACTTCCGGTGATTCAAGAATTCGACTTAAACTCCACATCAGTGCACCTCTAACTCGAATAAGTTCTGCTGCTCCCACTTGATCTGCTTTATTGAGTACTATTTTAATCTAAATTATTAGAAACTATAAATTTACTTTTGAAAAAAAAAATTGCAAAAAAAAGATTCAAATTTAAAAAAAAAAAAAAACGAAAATAAAATATTAGAAGAAATAAAATAAGTAATACTTAAAAATTGAAACAAAAATTTTTAACCAACTTTTTCTTCGTTTCCTTTAAGACATTGTATTACTTGCTTGTACTCATCGCTGATATCCAATTTTGAAGTGTCAAATAAAAGTACGATCATATCAACCTATAAACTACGAATCTTAATAAACACTCAAATGTTTCTTATCAATTATAAAAAAAAAAATGATATCAACATTTGTTATCAGTTAAAAAAAAAATTAGCAAAAAATTTGAATAAAATAATCTCAAATACTATCATTTGTAAAAAAATAATTAATTACTTTGCCAGCAATGTAATTTACAACGGATGCAAAATCATAGCCACGTGATGAACGTTGCTTTTGACCGGATAATATTCCAGGTGTATCCATAAAAGTAATATGTTCAAGTAATTTAGACGGAAGTGTTGCACCACGCATTCGCGTCAAAAATGCCGAACCAAACATATTTAATGACTTAAAATGCTATTTTATTATTACTCATTTCTATTTTGTATTAAAATTTTAGATAAACAAATAATTTTATAAAATGCTATACGTTTAATTAATGTTATATTTTACTAATTAATATTTTCTGGTTGTACGAATTTTGTTTTTTTTTTTTTTCTAAATGCAACTTTTTTTATTTCAAAATTAAAAGAAAAAAAAATGATTGAATTTATTTTCAATTGATCGAACATTTTTAACAGTTTTTTTTTTTTATAATTTTGTATTCTATGAAATTAAATTTTCTGATAATATTGGAAAATTTAATCAATTAATTTTAACATAAAATAATTTAAATTTTGACAAATTTTTAAAATATAATTTAAATTGAAATGATTGAAACCTGAAATGGTAATGTATTATCAGATGCAAGTGATGTTCCCATAACAGTACTTGCATTAGCTGAATGATAAATAACTGTAAAGCAATCCGTTGTTGGTTCCGGTCCAATCATACTACCCGGATATTCCATTCCGTTTAAAAGAAATTTGATCATTGATGTTTTACCAACCGAATACTACAATAAATTCTATATCATTTTGAACTTTTATCATAATTAGTTATCACTTATCAATTTAATTTATTCAATGGCTAAAAATTTTTTAATAACTTATTAAATATATTCAAATTTAATTTATTTAGAAACTAAGAAGTTATGATAATTTGAACTTTTATCATAATTAGATATCATTTATCAATTTAATTTATTCAATGGTTAAAAATTTTTTAATATTTTTATTAAATATATTCAAATTTAATTTATTTAGAAACTAAGAAGTTATGATAATTTGAACATTTATCATAATTAGTTATCATTTATCAATTTAATTTATTCAATGGCTAAAAATTTTTTAATAACTTATTAAATATATTCAAATTTAATTTATTTAGAAACTAAGAAGTTATGATAATTTGAATTACTCTCAGTTAAAAATAAAAATATCAATAAATTAATATACTTATTTACCTGTTAAAAAAAAAAAAAGCTAACCTGTCCAAGAAATAAAACCATCGGTTTAGCTTCAAATTCAGCACGATACAATGCTGGAGTATAAAATTGATCATAGATATGTCGTTTTTCCATAGGTAACATCTTTAATTTCTCTTTTTTTGTTTTCTTTTTTTAAATATAAAAAGTTTTAAAACAAAAAAAAAAAAAAAGTTTTCCTTTTTTTTTAAATTAAATTTTTTTTTTTTTAACATTGTTAGATTAAATGATGTTATTAAGAAATGAAAAATTTTTTTATTTTATCCTCTAATTTTCACTTTAATTGGAAAATTTTTAGTCTATCATTAAAAATATTTTCTCAGAAATGAAATTGACTTCTAGCATTCAATTAATAAAATATTCTTTCTCAACTTTTTCTAGAATCAAAAAAAGTAAAAAAATAAAAAAGAATTTAAAAAATTAAGAAAGTCTAAAAAAAATTTTTTATTTTTTTTTTTTTAAAAAGTTTATAAAATTAAATACTTTTTGTTCATAATTTAGATAGAGTACTTCGGCGATGTTTTCTCTGGTTGGTAATGGTACTGGTGCCTAAAAAATATAGTATTATTAAATTTACTTTAACATAAATCTACATTTGAGAATATTTTAAGTAATTAAATAAATAATTTACTATTTTTTTTTAACTTTAATTAACTTAAATTGTAAAGTTTTCCACCATCAAAGTTAATTGTTGAAGTATTTAATAAATGATCAAAATGGCATTCATTTATTTCTTTGTTACATTTTAACTTTTATGATCAATTCAACAAATTGATGGTTGTAAAATAAGAAACAAACTAAAAATTAAATTCAAAAAAAAAAAAAAAAACCACTAACAAACCAATGGAACTGTTTTTTTTCGAAATAATCCCATTTATTTTTTATTTTTTTTTGTTTTATTTTTATCGATGATTATAACAAAACCGCTTGATAACTGTGAAATGAATAAAATGCCTATTTTGAAGTAAATTTCATTGCATTTTATAAAAAATTTTTACACATTCAATTAATATAATATTGTACAATCATTATTAATTTATATTCCAATAATTCAAAATTATATATTATAAATATTAAAATTAAAAAAAAAAATAAAAAACAAACTGTAATATATGAAAATTATTTTACATATTTTATAATATAACATTTTTTTTTTTAAATTCTAAAATCATTTGATACAGTAATTGCAAAAAAATGGAAAAAAAATTTTTTTTTTCTTCCTTATAAATTAAAATCTCAAAATATTCCCTCTCAATATTTTCATCATATCGAAATATTTAGTTTAAAATTTTAAACTCTCTCTCTCTCTCTCTCTCTCTTTCTCTCCTCCTCTCTCTCTCTCATTTATTTCTCTTTCTTTATTTTGCTTTTCGCTTATTTCCTATCTATCAACAAATATAAAATTTGATACAGCGCATATAATTTCATATGAATACATTCCAACATTATTGTTTAGCTTAAATTGTGGCGCAAATGTGTTACATTTGTTTATATTTGTGATATTTTAGAGCTTTCAATTCTTTTGGTATATCTCAGAGAGACTTAGTTTCTTCTCATATTTAAATGATACAAAATGGAAAAGAGTGTGACCCAGTTTTTCATACTAATTTTAGCTTACAGTATTCAATTGTGATATGATATTCGATATCTTTCTCTCAGGGGTGGGTCAGTTAACCATCTGTATATAAAAATCCTGCTAAAGTCAATAGATGGTGGTAGAATTCGATATATTACAGCTATTTGTGTATATGTATGTGTACGTATTCACGTGTACGTGTACGTGTATGTGCACATGTGTGTGTATGTGTATGTGTGTGTGTGTATGTGTGTGTGTGTGTGTGTATGTGTGTGTGTGTGTGTATGTGTGTGTGTGTGTGTGTGTGTATGTGTGTGTGTATGTGTGTGTGTGTGTGTATGTGTGTGTGTGTGTGTGTGTGTGTGTGTGTGTGTGTGTGTGTGTGTGTGTGTGTGTGTGTGTGTGTGTGTGTGTGTGTGTGTGTGTGTGTATTTCCAATTTTTTTTTTTTTTTAATTTTGCAGGATGGAAAATGTCTAAAGCTAAAAAGCTAAAAGTTGGTCAAGAAGTGGTGATATAATCCTATACGTTCCAGTTATATGTGATGTATGTACGTGTACGTGTACGTGTATGTGTACGTGTACGTGCACATGCACGTCTACGTGTATGTATGTGTGTATTTCCACTTTTTTCATTATGAATAATTTTTGCAGGATGGAAAATATCTAAAGCTAAAAAGCTAAAATAGCCAGCTGGCAATTTCAATTGGTTGCTTTTTAATGATTGCTGTAGATGGTGCAGTACAGCCGTATCATTTGCAGCAATCTCCGTATTTCCTCTTTGCTTTATATATTTATATTTATTATTTTGCTATTCTCAGACAATAATGATAGCTTATGATAATTTTGATTTGAAATAGATCGATTAATTGATTAATTAATTGAATTACTCTTCTCGTAATATATTTCAGGTGTAATTATTTATAATGGTACACGTTAAAATGAACTATAATACTTATGGGCACGTTGTGTTTTTGCGTACGTAAAGTAATTGTTTGATTAATTGAATTACTCTTCTCGTAATATATTTCAGGTGTAATTATTCATAATGGTACACGTTAAAATGAATTATAATACTAATGGGCACGTTGTGCGTACGTCTTTCACCTGTTCAGCTATCGGTTTGGAATTTGTATTTTTTGTCCGAGCTGCCCCTTGAAAGACTAACGCCACCGATGCCCTCTTCTCTCCCCCTCTCTCTCTCTCCCTCTCCTATCATCAATTATTATATTTAAAAAAAAAAAAGTTTTTTTTTTTTGAAAGAATTTTTGATCAAATTTCGATGAATTTACGGTACTTTCCCACATCCATCTATCATCACATCATACAGTTTACATCACTAAGTGATACGGTATGATACAAAAATAATGCAAATGGTACTGTACAAATTGCAATAAATGAAAAGGCATTTTTTAAAAACTATTTATTCATTTTATTTTTCTTTTTAAAAATATATTTAATTATTTATTTTAATTAATGGGCAAAGAAATATGTTGGAGATGGGTAAGAGATATATATATAATAGACATATGCTAGATGCGCTAATTGTAGTAATTTTAGTTACAACTAAATTTGTAAGATAAATAAGCGCTATGTATGTGTGTGTGTATATGTGGGTAGTTCGAATGTTCAAATTTATCAAAGCAAAAAAAAAAAAAGAAAAGAAAGAGAATAGGAAAGAGGATAATAGCGCCCAGAGGGATGGATAAGCTTCAATATTTATCTTCCAATAGAATGGAAGATACATTTGAAAAAAGCAATCATTAATATCAAAGTCAACAACAACAACAACAATAACAACAGTGATAACAACAATAGATAGCAGTGATAGCAGTGATATCAGTGCTAGCAGTGTTAGCAACAATTCTGAGGTATTTCAAGAAAGAAATCTATCAAATTCATCCTATCGCTATTGCTAATATATATCAATGGCTATCATTCGTTCACCAATGTGGTGCTTTACTAAAATATCAATTCTTAAATGGCTTCAATTGGTTAGCTATTTATTTATTTATTTATTTATTTTTCTTAGAAATGCACTTTTTAAAATTATAAGTGAATTGATTGAGAATTACTTAAAAATTTGTTTTGAAGTTGAAATAACAAATAATTCTTTTATTATTAATTCTAATTGATAATAAGCAGATTATAGTTAAAGTATTATGAGAGACATCCGTTATAAATTTTCATCTTTGAAAAAAATTTATTATTATTTTTAATTGTTCTCTTTTGTTTACAGCTTATCATTTAGTCTTAGTCTTATCTGATTTTTCATATCATTTTCCACTAATTTAATCTCTAATTGAAAATTTCTGATTTAAACTGATTCTAAAGATATTTGTTATAGTTAGAAATTTCAAATTTAATAAATTTTTTTTTTTTTTTGAACATAAAGCCACACACACAGACAGACACAATTTACAATTTAATGGTCACTTCACTAAGATCAATTGTCCACTTCTTTTCTCGATCTATTTTCTTGACATTTTCTATTTGTTATATCTAAGCATTATTTATTCTGGATTATTTCAACTTCATAGCACTACAAATATTTTTTTCATAAGTAAATAAATTGATTAAGTTTCATTGCATATATCACATAGTGCTCTTTCCTTCAGGTATGTTCTCTGGTGATTATCATTTTTATCAGTGATGGAAGATATCAATGGTTCATATACACAGTTATCTTCTTCATTTCTGTCTTACTTATCCTATGCACCTCGTTGACATTACTGATGCATTACATTGGTATAAAGAATATTTACAATATTGTTAGTTTCGAATTATTTTATTTATAATGATATGATAGTAATGTTTTGATATTGATAATGCAATCATTTATTATCAGTGAGTTTATCATTGCTTAAACATATACGTAATTGTTTTATTGATCAGTGTAACAATTCTTGAATGTATTTTTGTAAAAAAAAAAAAAGAAATCTAAATAATTCTTATCATAAAAATATATTGAAGTAAAGAAAAAAATTTAATAAATAATATTTGAGATTTTATAATATTTGTAAAATTTCAGGAAGTGATATTTAATTTAATAGCATTTTCCTTATCTTTATTAGCTGGTTCAGTATTAACCTATGACCTGATAAAAATGGTTTCTGGTAGTTTTACGCATCATCGATATCTTCCACCAACAAATATTGGTAAAGATAGTTGGAAGAATCGAATTGCTGTTTGTACGGTATAATGTTTTTAATTTTTTTTTTAATTCCTTGCTTAGTTAATTAATTCAATTTTAAGTTTTGATATTGATTAATCATTAACTGATAAATCATTTAAACAATGTATTCATTTTTTTTTTTACAATTAATGATAATTTTACATGTATCATTTTTATTCTTATTCATTACGACATTTTTACATTGTGTTTATTTTTCTTTTATTTTTATTTTTTTGAAATTTAAAATTATTTTTCAGATATTTCTGCTTCTGAAGACGCTATTTTATCAGGCATCATTTATATTAATCAAACATAAAGGAAGAAATTTGGATCAATAGAAATATTTTAAAGCATATTTTGTTGTTTTATTCCTATTTTTGTTTTAAAAATTATAATTTTTGTTTTAAAAGTTTAAAAATTACTCTGAAAAAAAATTATGAAAAACTTCTAAAATACATAAATAAATAACTTTGTTTACTCTTAAAAAGTTACAAAATTATATAAACTCAAATGCATTGCATCATTTATAATACTTAAATGAATTATCATCTTATCAATAAAGTAATATCTATGAGCTATCATTACCTTAACAATTATCATATCAGTTAATAAAATCACAAATAACATTTATCTTTCCTTGTTAAAATTACCAATTTTTTTTTTTTTTCACCACTGAACATTTTTTTTTTACATTTGCTATATTATAAATAAATTTTCAATTCCTAAATTAAATACATTACATTTGCTATAGCATAAATAAATTTTTTAATTTCTAAATTAAATTAAATACATTACATTTGCTACATTATAAATATAACAAAATTTGAAATCAATAAATTTTTTTTGTTCCTAAATTTTCAATTCTTAAATTAAATCAATTAATAACAATAACAATTAAGACAATCGATATTATTATTCTTACATTGTATTGGAATATTCGATAGATAATTATATTTATTTGTGACAAATTGCTTTAAATTCATCATCCTATATTAATTCTGATATAAATTTTATGACAAAATTTAAATAAATTTTTTTTTTCATATATTTGATAAAAAATTAACAGTATAAAATTGCTATTTTCCATTTCCATTTTATTGTTATCAATTTTGTAAACTTCTGAGAAGTGGTCTAAATCATTTATTTTGAAACTCTCTCTCTCTCTCTCTCTTTCTCTTTTTATCTTTCTTTTTTTTGCGGATATTTTGCTGTTTTTAAAATTTATGAAATCGATGATCAATGGAGGCAATTTATAATATGTCGTTCTTTTGGTGCGTTTCATTGTTGATTATCAAAATTTCAAAGATTGATTTTTAAATCAGAGAAGATCAAAAGTTCTATTTGAATTGCACGAGTTTCTCTCTGAATTTCATTTATGATAATTAATGATTAGTGATAAAATCATTAGTATTAATTGTTATCATTAACTTTTATCATTTATTCTTCCTAAAAATGCTAAAGCAAGAAAAAAAAAAATAAAATAAAATAAATACTTTCCATTTATAGATTAACAATAAATTTAAAGATTTAAGGAAATCAATGTTACCTACTCTTTAGTTCTATATTAATAGTTTCTTTTTTTTTTTTTTTTTTGTTTTTGTTTAATTTATAATAATATTCTTTTTATTGATAAATAGTTCAGTTTAAAATTACCTATTTAAAATTACTTACAATAAAAAAAGATTCTAGTATACAAACAACTCTAGTATTACTGGTGAGTACAATTATATTCTGGTGGGGATGTTGCAATCGATCACTTAACCATCTTAAAAAAACAAATCAGCGTTCATCGGATGAAACCGGAATTAATACAGCACCGGTTGATAATGCAATACGAACAACAAAAACAGCACCTGAAGATGCTCAATCACCAGTTTTATCAAAATCACAATCATTTCCTCGTACATCGGTGATTAATTTTTTGATATATTTTAGAATAGATAAAGTTTAATTGTTAATTTAATTGTTAATATTAGTTTAATTATTAATTCTATATAAACATCATACATTATTTATTGTAACAATTGCGCCTTCAAAAAAAAAAAGACGAAAAAATGGATTTAATCTTAAGCTATGATAAATTAAAGTATTTAAGGAAAAAATTAGAAAAAAAACTTTAGTGAATTAATGAATGATTAAGCATTTTTTTTCTCTTTTTTTTAGTTTTGAATGAAAATAGAAAGAAAATTAAAGTAAAAATATGAATGAATATTTTAGTAAAAAATTAATTTATTGAAATTTTACATGATTAAAAAAAAGAAAATGAATGAATGAATTGATTGATTGATTGGTTGATTGATTGATTGATTGATTGATTGATTGATTGATTGATTGATTGATTGATTGATTGATTGATTGATTGATTACATATCATTTGCTTACTTGATAAGATTGATAGTACATTACATTCCATTAGAGAACTTTTTAGTCCGACAAATCAGTAGATGCAACACAGGCAGAAACTATGAAATTTATTCGTCAAGTAAGCAAACTATTTTGTTGTAGTGATAAGCTAGTGGATTCATAATGATAAGAATTTCTTTTTTTTTTTTTTTTTTTTTTGATATGAACTTAATTTTTTAAATAATACTCTGTTTCTGCCAAATGAATTTTTAATTTTAAAATAGAGTTAAAATTAAAATGAGAAACAAAAGAAGATTGAATGGAATAAATAGAGTAATAAAATGATCAAAAAAAGTATTTCTTAAATTTATATTATAAATTGATTGAAATTTATATGAAAAAAAATGAATTTTGCAGTCACTATCAAAATCAAAATCGTTAAAAATGAAGAAAAATTTGGACTCATCACAACCAGAAGTTATTATTTTAATAATTGATCCTTTTTTTTATTTTGCTACTGATATTTACTAAAATTAGAGAATATTTTAATGAAATTATACTTATAAAAGAAGTATTTCATACTTATCATCAATACTTAAGTAAGTACTAATGTATTTTATTATTTAATATTCAAATTAATTTGAATACTTATAAAAGAAGTATTTCATACTTATCATCAATACTTAAGTAAGTATTAATGTATTTTATTATTTAATATTCAAATTAATTTGAATACTTATAAAAGAAGTATTTCATACTTATCATCAATACTTAAGTAAGTACTAATGTATTTTATTATTTAATATTTAAATTAATTTGAATACTTATAAAAGAAGTACTTCATACTTATCATCAATACTTAAGTAAGTACTAATGTATTTTATTATTTAATATTCAAATTAATTTGAATACTTATAAAAGAAGTATTTCATACTTATCATCAATACTTAAGTAAGTACTAATGTATTTTATCATTTAATATTCAAATTAATTTGATTACAAAATAAATAAAGAGAGAGAGAGAGAGGGAGAGAGAGAGAGAGGGAAAAAAAGCAAAGATATGTTAGTACAATTTTAAAATGACTAATTAAATTTTATGTTCAATACCTTAAGTTTTCTTTTTTTTTTTCACTAAAAAATCATATATATCGATAGTAGAGCATTTCGGCATTTATTCTAATAATTATTCAAAAACTTTTAGCATTGTTTTAAGTTTCAAATTAAAATTTATACATAGTAAGTATACTTACTTATGAAAATAATACATATTATAAAAAATATATTTTTTATTATTATTATTAGCATAAAGGAGAACAAGATTCATTTGCTACACATATTCCAAAGAAACGAGTTGCCAGAAGAAGCACAGAGGTTTCTGTTTTTATTTCCCATCTTTTTATACAAATTTTATAAAGTATGATTAAAACTTAAAAAAAAAAAGAAAAACGAAAAACTATCAAATTTTTTGAAATTTAAATTTGAATAAGAAAAATGCATTTCTTACAGATTAAAGCAAGACCACCGGTACGTTGTGATCGTGACGATTACAAAACAATTCCGGCACATATGTTGCCCTCATCAACTGATGATCTTTGAAAAAAATAAAAATAAAAAAATGGAAGAATTACTATCAATTTAAAAAACTTATCAAATTGATAGTTACAGAGATAATTTTATTGTTGAGTGAGCATCTCAACTTAATCAAATGCAATAAATTATTAAATTCATTTTTTGATTTGTAAATGAAATTATAGGATAATTTTAGCATGTGATAATATCAATAATGACATTCGTGTGATTCAAATAAACAAATATTTATATTTATGTCTGAAATAATTGCAATCGAAATAAACAAAAATTTCATATTGGTATGCTGAAATGAATGATAACTTCTCCATTTCATAATTTAAATGTATAAAATGGAAGAAATTTCATTAACCAAAATTTGAAGCAATTGTGTTATTTAGCAATATTAATGTGAAATAATTTTTATAACAATGTCAAAAGACAATCAAAAATAGAAATGCTTGCAGTACATTAACAGATTTGTTACAAAAAGTGTTATTATTCTCGACATTTGCAAACCAAATGCAAATATGCGCAAAGATGTAAATGTGTTAGAACAAAATTTATAATTTAATTCCCGTAAAATATTGAGCAAAATGTACAAAAGAAGAAATAAACAATACAAAATACAAAGAGTGGACCAAGTATCATTGTTATACCTTTTCTAAACAAAAAATTAAATTCATCAACAATTTCACCTAAATTTTTGCATAACATTATAACAACACAAAACTCTAAACTCATTATAATGAAAAAAGTACGACAATAATATAAAACATTGTTTATCGTTAAATAAATTGAGAAGCTTACAATAAATAAAAAAAAAAAAAAATTGAATTCATCAACAATTTCACCTGTCATCTTTCTTATCCACCTTTCATCTTTATTATTGACGCTTAAAGTTAAACAAAACTTTAAACGCCTGAGAAGCTAGCAGCAAACTAAGGAGTAGCAGGAAACAGCTCTGACGCACAAAATCCTACATTTCATTGAATTTCTGAAAATCCCAATGATCACTTTCTCATGTTCTATTCAATTAATAGCAGTCAAAATTAGTTTGCAAATCTGAGCCAAACTTATGCGAACCGTGGTGCAATCTATTTGCTGATTCTCACCGGAAATCTTTTCAGTTTAGTCTATCGGCCAACCTCAAATACGGACGAATCAGGAAGTCACTGCAAGTAGTAACTTGACTGCTTCGCCCATAGTAATAATATAATCTTTGCAATTACCCTTACTTCAACTGATACTAACTGATCAATTTATCATTGAATTGTTTACTTTATTTACATTAAGTGACGCAAATGTAATTACATGGCAAGAAAATGAAAAAATTAGAACTTGAATCCTTTAATACAATTATTATCAATCAAATTACCCGTAGATGATGAAGATGGGTAGCATCCC